GTCTGACATTGTAGAGAGATGAGTTGTAGAAAATTCTGCAAGGGCTTGGGAGGAGCCCCTGATGTTTGATCCTTTGAGAGCAGGCCTCTCCACCTTCAAAAAGGGAACTCTGAATCCTCTGAGTGTTTTGGATTAAAATAATTAACCCTTTTGTCTTCCAAAGCCAAGAATGTATCTGAAACACACTTTAATGAAGGAAAAACTGCCATTAAAAAGAGAAGGAACAGAAACTACTGGGCTTTCTCTGTGGTGGCACCCCAATTGTGGAACATGCTCCCCAGAAAGGTTCACCTGGCCCCAACTCTTCTCTCTTTTCAGCATCAGGCAATATTCTCCCAGTAGTTTAAGTATTAATTTGTTTTAGTGGAGGGTTGACATTTTAATCATTGGATGCTGGGCAATTGTTGTTATTCTTGTTTTTGTTTTGTTTTTGACCAATCTGCTGTAAACTGTCCAGAGACTTTTTAAGTATGGGATGATATAGAAAAGTTTCAATAAATAAAAAAATAAATATTCTCTGTTAATATGACTTTCATGGGCATGTCTCTCTCCTTTCCCTTCGCAGATGATCAAGATAAGAGGTTTCTGGCAATAGTGCCTTATTAAGTTAGGGTGACTTTGTATACAGAGTAATATAAACATTGTTAGCAAGAAACATCAATCAAATTAATGATCTCTCTAGTTGCTTGGTTAGTTCTAGCCTTAGCTAGAAGTTGATTGCAAATTGAATTCCTTTACCCTTCTCCTCCAAATGAGGTGGCTCCACCCTCAGGGAGGTTCATGCTGCTAATGGGCCAGGCAGCAAGCACTACTTAATTGGTCTGCTTGTTTGACTTTGTGACAAACCACTGAGTTGATGAATTCACCCCCCTGCCCAGCTGATCCTCCTTGTTCTACAGTGTCTTTCTCAAACCAGAGGCAGCCTCATTCTCACCAGCCATTTGGCTGATCTTGGGGCTCATTTACCTTGATATTTCAGATAAGAATTCCAACCCTTCTTCTTGCTCAGATTTGAAATCTGAACTCTCTAGCTTGAACTCGTGTATTTTGGGAGAAGCAGGTCTAATTTCTACAATATCTAAGCACCCAAACTCTGTCTTTGTGATTGGGAATTATTAATTATCAGGAAGAAATACTTTCCAAGGCCAAGATATTGGCCTTGCCATTCATATCATGACCAACTGTTTTAAAAGCATTCTATTAACTGTGCAGCAATATAGGTGTGTATATACTATAGGCCTTCCTATAGGGTTTAATGTGTACATGTAGCATAGTAGGATCTGTCCTGTTTTTGTCAGCCAACATGCTGCACTGATTATCGCATACACACTAATTAATTGTGAAAGCAAGCACATTTTTCTCTTGTATATTTGCATTATTCTGTTTTACCACAATGCCACCTAGAGGTAATGTAATGGAAAAATAAGAAAGGAAATTGGAGTACGGTTCATCTCTCAGAGCTGTGTCATACCTGAAAATAGATACATCAGAAAAACAGCTTTGTATAAGAAAAACTCTGCTATTCATGTTCAGCTACTTGATCAGTCACAGTGAGGTGCATGATGAAAGCACTGGTTTAACTGGTGGTCAAGAGAGCAAGGATACAGCTAAAGTATAGCCTTTCATCTTTAGAGATGCTCTTGCCTTGTCTGACTGGAATTGTGCATTTGTACAAAGTGGTGGATCATGCTGGAAAACCAAGCAGTATGCTGTTTGCATGTGAAAATAATAGCCAGAACTACTCAAGCTAAAGCTAACTTCACTCCACTTTTGCCTTTACTTGGAGCAGCATGCCCAGTGAACACATGGTGTATTCCCACAATGAGGCAGCCTCTTGCAGCTGTGTATGTCTAGGCAATGAGAACGCTCTGGAGCTTCTCCCCTGAAGTGATGGCATCTGAAATTGCATGCAACTCTTACTTCCACTGACAGCTTGATGATAGCTGTATTACAGATGGTGGATTCCTGTGTCTGATTAGTTGCTCAACAGAGAAAGAAAACTGAAAACACGCAAGGCATCAACAGGAAATAAAACATTTTTATTGAATATCTGTGTAGTATGTATGATTTTATTTTAACGACACCTGAAAAACTCTACTGTGGGATCCACTACACAAAAGTGAAACAAAATATAAACCACCTCATCAAAACTGAATGTAAAATACAGCTAAACTTGTCAGCTCGCAGGCCACGAGCAATATGGCAGGATAGAACACCCCAAATGTTTCTACAAGATACAGAGAAAAAACCCACACATAGAAACACTCAAGCAGGCAGTAAATATACACAAAGGCAACTAGGATCTTTCTACAGCATCAGATTCTAATACTTTACACAGCTTTGTCAGAAAGGTACATGTGGCTTCTTAGAGGATGAAAATGTCATCTTGGTCAAATAGCAGGTCTGCTCTCTGCTGAGAACCATAGTACATTACCAACCAATTCTGTGTTGACAATCCATCTGGCAGTGTAGGAAGAGAATGCATTAAGAATACCTTAGCACAATGAATCAGTTCTGGCAGCTTGAGCCTGTAAATTTCAAGATGCTTTTTTTTGTCCCTGCTACAATGATCAACTGAAAGGAGTTACAGTGGAGCTGTAACTCTCTTTTTGTAAGCTGCAAGCCTGTGTTTAGCTCTTCTCTTTGGTGGGATTTGGTCCTTTTAAAAATGCAATGTTATAGAAGTGTTCCTGTTGGTTTTATCCCCTCCCTATGTACATCTCAGCTTTTCTGACTCAACTATGTTTTTTTTTTTCCTTTTTGTTTAGAAACTAGAAAGACTTCTGGAGCAATAGATGTTGCTGTTCTTTTCTTTTGGGACGCTATGTAGAAAGCAGATTGTCACCACAAATTCCATTTGAGGATGGTGAATGAAAATTCCCACTTCTTAAGTATGAGGTGTGGACCCACCACTCCACAAAAGGGAAATTCACCCTTCAAAAGTTGTTGGTGATGCCTTTAGGGTTTACATAACAAATCCAAACCCTGCACCATCAAGTAATTTCTCAGGATATCCCATTCTTTCTACCAAAGCGTGCTTTTTGGAGGGGTGGGAGACCTCCCTGTCCTTTTTGTGCTGGGTGATACTGAAAACAGAACCAGTTCAATGCATTATACATCAATGCATTATCATATATTCACAGTCTCTTAAATAAGTAAGCAAATAAAGGAACAAAAGCAGTCTCCAAAGGAAGAGATCTGAGCTGAAATAGTAACGCCCACACGTGACATGATAAAATGAGAATAAACTGAAATGATGGGCCACCTTATCTGTAGGACAGCCCTCCACCTTCGAAACAGAGGGAGATGCGAAATATTGCACAGTGTCGACAAAATGCTGTGTGGTCTATCCGTTTTATATGATGCCCTTGTCCTATGCATAGCTTTTCAGTTCTGAATTGGTCCATAGGTATGAGAACTGTGTGTGCTATGCACTCCTTCGGCAGTGCAGTAGAAGGGAATGGCAGTATTTTTACAAGATCACTACGGAATAAATTGATTGCTATCCACTGAGAAAACTACAGTTTCTAAGCACACACGGCAGTCACAGTGATACACAGAGCAGTCTTTTAAGACGCTTATGGAATGACTAATAGCTTCATAATAGTGCCATTTACTACATTGTAACATTGAAAACATTTAAAAACTCCTCCTGAAACGAGCATCTAGTGTACATAAGAGGTTGCTTCAGTTTGCTAGAACTTGTTCTTTGTTTTGTTTCACTTTTTTTAAAGGACAAATTAAAACTTATTAAGTATAAATAGTATATAAAAGGTCACTAGCTGTTATCTTTTGGCTTGCTTTGAAGTGCATTCAGAAATATGGCTAAATTTTTTTGTCCTCTTTTGATGGGATTTTACAATACTGTCTCATCACCATGAAACTACTTTTGTATAATAAACACACACGGCGGTGATTTTTTTTTTGTTTGTTTTAAAAAATATGCTGCATTCCTTCTCATCTGGCTTAGTATAATAAAATATTTTGTTACAAAGTCTAATGTGCAAACTCATTAGAATTAGAGAATGTGAGCTCACAAATGGGATTCACAGTATGCAAATTTTGTATAAAGGTGATAACGGAGAGCTACTGGATTTCAGGTATGTGTTTGCCATGGTTAGATGCAGTGGTCTGCTATTTCTGCAGCTCCACTGCTGTGTTGTCTCCCCCCCCCCCGCCCTTTTATACGTTTGCTATGTGTAATAATTCATGCACCCTCCCACCACAAGGGGTTCTATCTTCAATTTCTAAATGTAAAGCCATGATTTCAGTTTGTTTTTATATATATACACATACACAAGAAAAAAAATGATATACTGGCTTCTGGCTACGCTTCCTTGAGATCAGTGATGGAGGTGCTCAGATCATGCTAAACTGCTCACAAGAAAAGGCTACCAATAGGGTTCACCCTGTCAAGGAGCGCCGTGTGAGCAAATCTTGGTATTTTAATGGTTCAGTTGAAAGCTCAGATTTAAGTTGTCCTTTAAGATGTCAGTGTAACACTACTAGTGCCTTACAAGTTGGAATTTTTGCTGGAATGCAGACAATACAATAATTACCCTATAATATATTATCAGCTCTCCTATATCTCAGTCAATTTACATAATTTAAAATATAACATCTTATTAAAAACATCTAGATATACACAGATTAGGAAACGCTTACAACATACAAATAAACAGACTAGAAATAATTTCTTTAGCATACTGGTATGTACAACTGTGTGATACAATAAATAATTTCTGTCATGCTCTATCTACACATATTGCTTAAAAGAAGAGTCGATCTGAGGGCAGTGGTGAGATGGAGGGCCTTATAGGGCTGTCTACACTTTGAGTTGTGCAAATTAAAACAAGATTTGAAGTACCACTGATCTGTGTTAGGGATGCATGGCTGGAAATAAAAGGACCCATATTACTGAGGTATTTACAGATACTGGCTAAAGAGCACTATATGGGCAAATGCAGAAAGGCTTCTTTTCTCATTTCAATTTTCAATTTTTACTTCTTGACTGCAAGCATGGCGTCTACCTCTTCCTCTGGCTGTAAGGTGTGCCACTGTGCAATGGGTCGCCTTGGGTTGGCCAACATGTCTGACCAATGTCGCAGCTCTGCGCCGGTGCTGTTGTAGCCCACAAACACTTTGCCAATGGCATCGTTCTTGCCAATCTTGTCATAGTCCAAAACAGTTACAACAACTTGCACTTTCTGAAACAGGAGCAAAAGGAACAGAGTAAAAGGTGAGGAAGGCAAGCTCCACTACAAACCATACAGTAGGATCCATTTCACGGGTGTGCTATTGGGCTGGTCGGCTTATACTGCCATTCATCCCCGCCAAGAAACAACCCAATAGCCATCACAGAGGGTGCCTATCAAATCTCCACTGGCGCAGGATAGTGCCCTCACCCTATTTTCCTCAAGCCACAGCCTACCCTATTCACCAGGGTCCTCCATTCCTCCGTGTTCCACTTTCAGGAGCCTAGAAGGCTCTGCCTGGGGATGGGAGAAGATAAGCTCACCTCCTACAGTTCAGTTTAATAGGCCTAAATCGAGACAAAATTTGCTACCATGGCTTCTGGAACTATCAAGGCTAGATGGAAAGTTGAATACCCAATTTACATTAAAAACATGTTTTTTAAAAGGCCAATTTAACAAATTGATTGATTAATTTGGCACTTTGTGCAGACTCTGTCATGTCTATCCTATTTCTAAGCTTTTCAGATTTAAATTAATGGGGGAAAAGATGCATGCTTCTAGTCGTCAAGAACTATAATGGTAAAGACTCAGTCAAGAACTGGTGAGTCTGTTCATATCTTTCTATGCTTCTCCATAAAGCATGATCTCAATATCCCTTTAGCATATCGTGTCTTCTGTTCCATAAGTCACTCTTTAGATCCACATTTCATGCACGTATAAACAGGTATAGTTAATATGAGCTAGAGTATCTGTCTGCAGTGTCGTTGTGACATTCCTTCAGTGACAGTGTTTTGCAAAGTTGTGCTAAAGTTGATGATGGATACCTCATCCCGGAATTTATGTGCTAAACTAGTTCTTCCACACCAGCTTTCCAACTACTCCCATATTTATATAAAACAATGAACTGAGCCATTCAGTTTGACAGAGGAGATTCATGTATTATTACTGCATTCTGTTAGGTTTCATGTGCTGAGAGAGAAAAGAAAAGCCTGCAGTATGAAACAGGTAAAACAGTAAGATTGACTTCCTGTTGGCTGCAGAACTATGGTAAATAAGGGTGCAATGCTATGGGCTCCTGATGTTGTGAGGGGGTGCACAGAAGTTTTGGAGCCATAACTCTGAGCTCTTTGACCTCAATGGCCTCAGAGGTGGGACTCCAAAGCCAAACCCTGCAGCAGTGATGAAAGAACCATGCCTGCTGCCTGTTTGAAGGTCTTGGAGAGGCAAATGGAGGCATGCCAGGAAGTGCTGAGGAGAGGAGGCTTCATGTTAGCACCCCAACTTCCTTACCTCCCCCTCTCTGGTGCCTTCTATAAGGCTGAAAATAGTCATGTAGAGAAAATACTTGTGGTGAGGTAGTGATGGGGACTGCTTTGTGCTTTGCTCTGTGCACTGGATGCTTGTAGGTTCAGACCCTTAGGAGCATCTGCTATGGGGCTGACTGGACGGAGCCCTCCATCATTTTGTTTACTGCTGCCATTTCTGTTCAGAATCCATTGCTGTTGAATATTATAAAATGCCCATCACCTGTCTTTTATGGATGACTTGACACTCCCTACCATGCCATATATTTCACACCCTTCCCCTCTGGAAGCAATCACAGTCAGTTCATGCCACGTAGGACTGGTAGATTGGCACATAGGTGCTAATGAAAGCAAGCACGCTGGATAATGAGCAAGGTTCCTCTTAAATATGCATGAGGACTGTGAAGCACAATTGCAAGGCGAGGTGTGACATTACCTGGATTTGCTCAAAGGGTACTTCAAAGCTGAAAGATTCGTTGTAGTAGGGATTCAGAGTATTCTTCTTAATTGTTGTCTTCTTCTTCTTCAGCCGTTTCCCATTCTGCATCAGGTGAATTTTCACATAGGGATCTGAGCAACAACCAGAAAAGTAAGATTGTTAGGAGACGGTGCTTTGGGGCTAATGCAGTGTGTCCTCTATTGAGCAAAATCCTTGAGGCAAAAGAGGTCGCGGATACATGAAAATGCACCAGACGTGCATTGTTGGCAATATGCCTATTTATATACGCTGGAGAAAGATCAGATGAGATCGTGCAGCTCCTGTTCAGAGCATGTAGCTTTGCCAAATGATGATACATTGTAAATTCACTTTTAGGGAAACAGCCAGAGGAGGCTCTATGGTTAATTTGCCTCTGCCCTAAAATGTTTGCCTGCACACAGATTGTTTGACATGTCCCTGTTTGATAGGAAAACTACTCAGCCTGTTGCCAGGACTAGAACACATGGACGATACAAATGAGCGTGTTGTTTTTTGTGCGTACTACAAAATACAAGAAAGCAAAGTAACAAGACAGACCTGCTCTGCTTGCCCTGGGAGTAATGATGGCGAATAGCTTCAGTGATCAGACCGAATCATGAAGGGGACCCAATATGCCTGGCAGCTACAAAGGAACTGTCATGGTCGGCAGTATCCTGATTACCAGAGGCAAAATGCAAGTCACAGATGGATAACTATCTTCATCTAGCCCTGCAAATAAAATTCCTATAGGAGTCAGCCCTGTTTAGAAACTAGTGCATGTCCAGCAAGACAATTCCTTTGTGATTATATGCTGATAGTTATTATTATGCTTTATTTCAGCCAAGACTGTCTCTTGGAGGAAATAAAGCTAGCTCAGGAGGTATCTGCTCAGGGCTTTCTCTGGAGATCAGGTTCATCCAATAGCTGAGCTTTGCTGTTTAGAAACCTCTTGATTTTCAGTGTACGCCTCCTTCTGCAAGTGAGGAATGTTGGTTCTATATGACCATGGAATTATTTCATATCACGTCACATGGACAAGGGAGCCAAGGTAGTAGAGCACTTGCTTTTGCATGCAGATCTCATGCTCAATCCTTGGTATCTCAGGTGGGCTGGGAAAAAGTCCTGTCTCAAGTCCTAGAAAACCACTGCCAGTCAATGCCAGCAATACTGGGCTAGATGAACTCAGTATAAGTCAGCTTTATACACTCCATCATTTTCAGTGGATTCTTCATCAACATTCACTTTTGCTTTGAAGTGGAAGAGATAGTGGAAGTTCCTGGGCAGATGTACCCTTAATTAATATAAGTCTTATGAACTACTTGGCTGTAAGCACCTGACCACTGACCAACATCTTTGCCTTAAATGGCATAGCCTTAAAAGCAAACAAACCCCAATATAATACATAGAACAATTTTGAGAGAAAGAAGAAACACTATAATAGAAGAAAAATCAGCTGAATGTCTTCTACTTTCTGTTCTGTATCTTTCCTATGAGCTTCTGTATACCAGTGAATAAATTCATCAGGTTATAATTAGGAGGTGGAGTGTGAAAATGTAAAAACTCATCTAGACTTTTCTCAGCAGAGGAGTTATCTCTCCCCACCCTTCTTTAATTGAGTGCCACTGCTTTGGATCACTGATTTAGAAAGGCTGAAGGTGTAATGCATTTAAATGCGTTCAGCTCAAACAGAACAAGCCAGGGGCTGCATCCTTCCCTTCTCTGAATCTTTTTATGGGTATATCATAGCAAATTTAAACATAGCAAAAAGAACTCCCGATACCTCAAGAGGAAAACAAACTGGTAAAATGAAGTGGGGGTTTAGAGATTATTGGATTGAGATTGTTTAATCAATTTCTTTCCATGTTTTACTCCTCTGATATTTAACTCACATGAGCCATGTGGCTAATGGGGCAGGCTAGAAAACTACAAAATAAATAAACCCATGGAACCCACTATGCTGTGTTTATTTTCCTTCTTCTTCAGAGTGCATATAATGAATTATGGAATTTGGGACCAACATGCAAGGGAATCATGATGCAGTGGTGGTTAAAGTGGTGGACCAAGGGAAACATGGATTCACTTTATCCTAAAAGTGACTGGGAGACCTTGGGACCTAATCTAATGCCACCCTGGGCTCTCTGCACTAAAGGTGAATGTGTTTAGCTTTGCTTGATCATGTGACCTCTCACACAGAAGATGGCCCTCTGTTTGGAGAGCCATCACAGTCTTCTCTTGACCATGTCGTCTGTGTGAAGGGTGCCCTCTCCAATTCCAACTAGATCAAGAACAGTTAGAACTGATGCCCATCAAGACAGCAGTCTGCACAAGCACACAGGTATCATCACTATCACCTTTATGGTCTCCTCCAGATTTACAGTGTGCATGATTCATATGTCAGCCTTGCATAAGACACAACTTACTACAATGCACTTCTGGATAAACTCCAATGGGATGAATGACGACTGCACTAGAACTTTCCTTTATTTTCAGTAGGCCTGTGCAAAGAATCTGACTGAACTTGGATTTTGACATGAGCCTCAGCAGGGTGACTGCACTGATCACTCAAGAAAAGGTGCCAGAAGAAATATCCCGTATCGACTAAGGTATTAACACACATGTATTCTATTATAGCACTGTGTCGGTGTTAAGCTAACCTGCACTGTGCATTTCAAATTGATCTATGGTGGAAGGAGGGGGAGAGAGAGAGGTGAGCCCCTTCCAATTTGGTTTAGGCTCACATGATCCCATAGTCTGGGCTGAAGAGCATTTTCACATCCCAAAGCACTAGGGCTGAGATATTTTAGCTTTATCACCCGCTCAACTCACTTCTCCCACACTGAGATGTGATGCTCCTGTGATGTTTCTTTTTATGTCTGCTTATCTACAGCTGTGCCTTGTCTGAGTTTGCTAAAAGCAAGCCAAGCCCTAGGAAACAGTTGCTCTCTGCAACTACTAATGTGTTACAATGAAACATACTTTCTCCTGTATATAAGCTGCTGATCTCATCAGGGCAAGCTACTCCCTGCCCTTTCTTCTCCAGCCACCCAGGAGTCAAATGATGCTATTTTTGTTAAAAGCCTGGTATTCTGATAATTTCAGTTTAAGCAAAGTTTATAAATGGCAGTCTTTCTGTGGCAAAATCGAGTCAGAGAGCACAGAAGGCTTAATTTCTGAAAACAGATCTCTGCAAGAGGTATCACTGAGCAAGAGAAATGCATTACCACAGAGAGGGCAAAACAGGCCCCAGGTTTGCAGAACATCAGGTCATGTTGATTTGTACATATGGATGCGCATTTAGAACTAATAACTATAATTTAAAGATGATTCATCTTACCATAGATGGGAAGCCTGTGACCAATGACCTGTGTGCCTTGCGTACTCTGCTGCTCAGGTGCTAACTTCTCACAGGCAATTCTAAGGGGCAGCTCTTCCTGCTTATGGCTCTTCTCTTTAGACTGGACCTAGATCAGATAGCTCTTCAGACCGAGGAAATTATACCCTTAAAGCTCTTCAAACGAAGGCCTGTTTTCTGTGAAACAGGACATGCGGCCACCTGGTCAGCAAGGCTTAGATGTGGCTATAGGGGGAAATGGACCTCAAGCATGCAGGGGTGTGTTTCAAGGCTTAAGAACGGAAGGAGAGTCATGCTAGAGCTCCTAAGTCCTGCCTAGTCTAACCTTCTGTTCACATACAGGCTACACAGATGCCCATGGAAAGCTCACAAGCAGAGATGAGCACTGTGGCATCCTCCTGCTCATGTTCCTCAGCAAGTGTCATTCAGAGGCTCACCACTCTGATCATGGACATAATGCTGTACTTAGTCATCATGACTAATAGCCAGGGACAGTCTTATCCTCCATGTCTAATTCCCTTTTTAAGAGAGAAACAAACAGAACTCTTCATGCAATTCCCCATGGAAAGCTTTTACAAAAAAGCCAACTTTCCCAGACTTCACTCTCCCCCAGAGGACACTTTCCAGTGCATTTAGATGAAGTGACTGGCTGTGCATCAGAGCCCCATTTTTTGATAGAGAGAGCTAAGAGGAAGCTGTTGCCTCTTCAGTTGCTCTGATTAATATTCCATGCATGGAGGCTCAGAAGCTGAAAAATCCACAACAATTTGTATTGTGCATTACTGATTTTATAAGACCATTGGAAAGGGGGGGATCTAATGAAGAGGCTTTTAAAAGCAGCTGGATACTCAAGTGACATGCTTTGCTTCACTGAAGTTTAGAGGCAAAGATGTCAGCTCATTATTTAGAGGCAAACGCAAGACTTGTGTCTTATTTGAAATGGATGTCAACCAGGCAATAAATACACTGATCTTGATCTTGGGAAAAGAGCTGCTCATGTTCAAAGAAGGATCCAGTACCCACAGCAAGAGGCTTGTGGACAAGGAATGTTTATTTTAGCAGATTAAAAAATGTTCCTATGATGTACAAGGTTTCTAAGACACAACAGCAATGTTGAATCACATGTACGAACAGTATCCAGAGTACAAGATGGATTAAATGGACTGCATCAAGACGGGAATAAAATTTTCTTTCAGAAAAAATCTGGAAAGACTGAGCAAAGACTGTCAGTGAGTTTTAGGGTGAGAACTACATTGCAGGTTCTTGATGCTTTCCCACCTGCTTTTCTGAAAGGACAACATTCAGAACTAATATCCACTAGGACAGGATGTCTACAAGAATGCCATGATAAAGGATGGCTAGGCTAAAACACAAATATAAGTTGAATATGGTTTGGACACAAAGCTAGCAATTTTTAATAACTCTTTGCAAGTCCCCTGGAGGTATTTAGTAAAAGTGTGAGAGCTAAGCACAAAATTCAGACCAGCTCTGGTTTTGTTTTTATGTGGGAAGGCAGGGAGTTTATCATTGGCAGGTCACTTAAGAGGTCTTCCACCTCACTGGAAGGCAGTGCAACGTACGGGTGGATCCAGGAACTGCCTTCCAGTGATAGAAGGTGCGTCTGCCCCACTGCAGGGGTACTCCTGCAGCACAGTTCATCCCAGTAAGCAGCCTGCCCCTTCTGTATAACATATTCAGGGCCCTGGATGGGCTGCTGTGCCAAGAGGTGGCAAGGAAGGGCACTTCTACCAGCCGCATATG